AAGGAAGTAAAGCAATAGCGGAAGTACTTTATAATAACACTACTTTAACTTCTTTGAGTCTTTATAATAATCAATTTGGTCCTGAAGGTGGAAAAGTAATAGCGGATGCTCTTTATAAAAATAATACTTTAATGGAATTAATTCTTTATAATAATCAACTTGGTACTGAAGGTGGAAAAGCTTTAGTAGATGTTCTTTACGTAAATACTACTTTAACCTATTTAAATCTTGGAAATAATCAACTTGGTCCTGAGGTTGGAAAAGCACTTGCAAAAGCACTTTTTGATAATAATACTTTAACACATTTATACCTTTCAGGTAATAAATTTAATTCTGATGTCGGAAAAGTGTTAGCTGTGTCACTTTATAAGAATAATACTTTAACTTATTTGGATCTTTATAAAAATCAACTTGGTTCCGAAGGTGGAAAAGCATTAGCTACAGCTCTTTGTATAAATAATACTCTAACTCATTTAGATCTTAGATCAAATAATATTCGTCATGATGGAGGAAAAGCATTAGCTGATGCTCTTTATAAAAATAATACTTTAAATTCTTTAAATCTTGGTCATAATAAACTTGATTTGGAAGTAGGAAATTTATTAGTAGAAGCTCTTAATAAGAATACTACTCTTGTCTTTTTAAATCTTTTTAGAAATAATATCGATCAATCTGTATTAAATGTTATCAATAACTTGCTTACAAAAAATTATGATAAATTTTAATATTTTGTATTGTTTAAAAAAAACTTTCTTATTTACAGCTTATATAAGTTGTTTCTATTTTATTGTATAAAAAAATTCTACATGTTTATTAAATAATAATCAAATAGTGTAATAAAATATTTAGTAAATAATTTCACAACAAAACAATTAGTAGATTTTAGTTAAAATAAAAGGTCAAAAATAGGCGTATGCTATAGATATTTTGAAAATTGTTCTCAAGCAGGTCGAGATTCGTTTACCAGTAAATGAATGATCTTTATAACGTTTTGCTAAAAATTTATTGTGAAAAATACGGATTTTAAATTTATGAATCAGAGTAACTAAGTTTGAATAAGATTATTTATAGTATAAATAGATGATTTTTTATTTTAATAGTATAGTTTCTTTATTTGATATATAAAAAAGAATAAATGTATATATATCACACCATGCTACACACTTATATCTCGCACACCTATAAATAAATCATAATCCAGGTGTAATGTAAAATTAAAACAAAACGTTTTACTTCGATTTAGTTAGGGTTAGGGCAGGTTCGATTTAAGATTAATGCGTGTATAGTTTATATCAAAATTTTGCAAGGAATTTTTTTAGTTAGAACACGAAAGGCTGTTTTCTATGTAAAATTTTGAGCTATTGGAGATTTCATTAAAAAGTGTTTTTTTTCGCCATTTTTTTTACGTTACACCTGATCTTGAAATTTGATTGGTGGGCGACAAATAAGAGTATCGCATGGTGCAAAATTAGCGAATTAAAATAAAGCGCGATAAATAAGATAAATAAGAGAATCGTACCCATGCTAGATCTAGATTAATCCTTTTTATATTATAAATAGATAAGAATGCTAATAAAAAAAGAATTTGGTTAAATATCGCAGGTTAATATTTAAAAAAAAAAAGTAAAATTCGGATTAGTTAGGGTTAGGGTTCGAGCTAGTATTAGGGTTAGGGTTAGAGTGCATGTATATATATGCAAAATTAAGAGCTGAAAACTTTTAATTAGAAGCCCAAGACTAATTTACATAATTTAAGATATTTAAAATTTTTAATTTTTTTCTAATTTTTGTTCGTTTTTGTTACACGAGATCCTGTGATATAATTGGTCGGTCATATTAACCTGCGATATTTAACAACATTCTAAAAAAAATATAAAATTTCCTACTTTGTATTATCTATTCATGAATTATTTGTTAAATATTTTAAAGAATAAATGTATATATCGCACCATGCTACACACTTATATCTCGCACACCTATAGTAAATCATAATCCAGGTGTAACCTAAAATTAAAATTTACTTCGATTTAGTTAGGGTTAGGGCAGGTTCGATTTAGAATTAGTGCGGGCATAGTTTATATCAAAATTTTGCAAAAAATTTTTTAATTAGAACACGAAAGGCTGTTTCCTATGTAAATTTTTGAGCTATTGGAAATTTCATTAAAAAAGTGGCTATTTTTTACGTTACACCTGATCTTGAAATTTGATTGGTGGCGACAAATAAGAGTATCGCAGGTGTAAAATTAGCCAATTAAAATTAACGCGATAAATAAGAGAATCGCACGCATGCTAGATTAGTGATTTGAACCGAGAAAAAATTCCTTAGTCTAGTAACCGAACCGAAGTATTTAATGTCAACCGATTGCAACCGATTAAGATTACTTCACACTTTACCTTCGGAAGTTTACTCAAATTTTTATTTCTTTTCAGAAGTTCTCGGACCTCCTTGATGTCATTTACATCCTGTCAACCGATTGCCGATACTCAACCGGTTGTACGGGTCAACCGATTAAGAATTTACTCAACCGGTTACCCGAAATTTATTCAATTCGGGTCGGTTAACTGATTATAGCCCAACCGGTTCAAATCACTATGCTAGATCTAGATTAATCAATATTTAAATATAACTGATTATAATAAAAAGTTTAATATTATTAAATATTAAATCTTTATTTATTAGTAGCTAGCTAATTTAATGAATAACTATAAAATATCGCACCATGCTACACACTTATATCTCGTACACCTATAAATAAATCATAATCCAGGTGTAAACATAAAATTAAAACAAAACGTTTTACTTCGATTTAGTTAGGGTTAGGGCAGGTTCGATTTAGAATTAGTGCGGGCGTAGCTTGTATCAAAATTTTGCAAGGAATTTTTTTAGTTAGAACACGAAAAGCTGTTTCCTATATAAAATTTTGAGCTATTAGAGATTTCATTAAAAGATCTTGAAATTTGATTGGTGGGCGACAAATAAGAGTATCGCATGGTTCAAAATTAGCCAATTAAAATAAAGCGCGATAAATAAGAGAATCGCACCCATGCTAGATCTAGATTAATCCAATTTTTTTTATTTAAATTATATAATAGGTACAGTAACTTATAATAAATTTTTTTATTTTAATTATATAGTATTTGTACAATATAATTTAAATTTAATTTAGAAATTATTATTAAAAATAATTTTTTATATATTAATAAGAGAATTTCTATTTGTACACTAGTGTACGCATACACGTATAATCAATATCAATTATAGTTACGATATCTATAATTACAAAATAAACAACATAAATTAAATATCAAATACAAGTAGTACAAAAAAAAATTATGTCTTTAATAATTATCGTTATTTATTAAATTAAAATACGTATCGGTATCTATGTTTATTATCGCTATGTTTGGATTACGGTATAAAAAAGACTATAGATAAATTTATTATATAATCAATATAATAACAATAACGATAATATTTGGAATACAAGTCTCTAAACGATTTAATGACGTAAAACATGACTTTGCTAGTTGACAGTTAGTCGATCGATTACAAACACTAATCAGCGCGCACACTAGGCACACTAGGGACCTATAAATAAAACCAAATAATGGTTACTAATAGACAATGACAAATATGGGTTTTTTTTCGATATATTAACCATTCTAATTATAATTTCCGTTAAAATATTACGCGTAATACAAGATGAGATGTTCATTATACTGTTATTTTGTTTATCAACTCATTCACTAATTTATATAACATCTACAGGACATTTGGTAACACCGGATTAATTATACTAGATCGTCAACAAACTTTGAACTTCCGTTTTTCGGATGGTTGCAATTACCGTTTATTCAAACGACTAACATAGTTTAGATTACATGTGTTAACGCGCTTTATATATATATATATAACTTCAAAGAATAAATGCAGATTCATTGATACATGTGCCTAAAATTCGATGGTATTACGAATATTTTATACTAAATTTTCCGAGAGGCGGATAACAAACCATATATCGTAAAAAAAAACCGAATGTCAATTATGTAATATGTATAATAGTAATTTACACGAATAATATTTGAGTATAATGGCATGCTGAAATTTGTATGCACATTTATCTAATAGTAAGAGATTACGATAAAAAGATTAGCAGATAATCTCAACCTTAAATAATCTAATTATTAAAGCATTGTTTTTTTTTTTTTTTTTTTTTTTTTTTTTGAATAGTAATACAACTTTCAATGAAAAATTACCAGAGAATGGAATGTTTCTAAAGGAAATTTTTATGTAATTTATATTTATTTATTTATTTACGTGTCGAAACTATTTTGATTTTTAAAAAATTATCATCACTGCAATAAAAAAAGACAATGCGAAATATTGATTTATTGATTTCTCCATTTGGTATGCATTTACAGAAAAGGTTAAAGTGTTTACAATTGGTCAACCAATAATTTTTTGGATGTTTGAACGTGTTAAAAAAGATATCCAATCATCATACATTTTACGTGCACGTAACAAAATAATTGACCTAAATTTCTCTGTCACACAATAAAATTTTGATTAGATTGTTACGCGATTTAAAAACAATGAATTATAATTTATTAATACCAGGTATACTTTAATTACCCTTTGTTTTTTGGATAAAAGTTCTAAAAACGTGAGAAGATCTCACAAGTCCGGTGTTTTGGCCTGATAATATAAAATAATTGAATAATTTTCGGATTTTTTTGGTCATTTTTTTGCTAATTGTTAACTTTATAATGCACTAATCATCTGTATATAATTATTTTATCCGAATTAGACAAGCAATGTAAATTGTAGATCATGGATAAATAAATACAACATTCATTTAGCAGCGTGCTTCTGGTTCAAGTTCTTAATGGACAAGAAAACTAATCACGGGCTACACAGTCAATAACTTATTTAAGAAGATGTTTTATTTCTCTTGGACTCAATCCATCGCTCATTTTCCGTTACCTCTCTTTTTTATGAAATGTCCCAATCGCAACCGCTGAAATTGAATGCATTTACATCGATTTCTCAAACGTTAATTTTACCAATTCCTAGAACATCTGTTCCAACAAAGCATTCCGAAATGATGATGTCAAATTGGCCACCATCTTCATCAGAGTTCACGGCGAGCTCAGCCACCTTCCCTGTCATTCCTTGTCAGCAACAAAATGCTACTACAGGTCCAACTGGTAAACCTGTACCTAATCGGCGAGGTAGAAAACGCTTAAATACAATGCCATTAAATAAAAAACATAAACAGAATTTGACGAATCAGCGTGCTTTTCGAGAACGTCGAGAATATTATCTTAAAACTTTAGAAAGTAAAGTAGAAATGTATGAAAAAGCATACGCTCAATATCAAACTGAAAATAGTTTATTAAAAGAAGAGGTGGCAATGTTAAAAAGACGCCTTTCTAGGTTCGAAAATTATGCATTTGAGGGTGGCCTCAGTATTACATCATCGGATATGCAACTTTCCGATAAGATACCTGTTAATAAGAACACAAATTCGTGTTGTAATGTGGTTAACGCGATATACTCTGTTCCAAACATGATCGAAGATAATCAAATAAATAATAATCAAATATTTCATGGTATTGATAAAGATGATTCTAACGAAAGAATGTATATTCAAGATTATTCAACACTCCCGATCAATAATGATGGATCATCATCTTTTACACAAAAGTCTTACCCTTCATTACCAAACGGAAATTTATCTTCATTCATGCAAGGTTATGACGAGCAATCGAGCTCAAAAAACAGACCCCATTCGCCTACTCATTCTTCGACTTCAATTGAATCTGTTGATGAAATTACTGATTCATCTATTTTTACCGAAAACCATAACCTTTGTTTTTGCGATGATTCGGAAATAAATGGACAGTCTCAAAAGACTAATGTAATGTCAAACCCGGCGTTTTCCACTGCGACACGCTCAACCCTACCAACTCCTGATGAGCCACAATGGCCATTATCGCATGAACAATACTTTGCTCAAACAACCTTGACATCATCGTTTTCTCAAATAGATAACGAGAGAAGAACAAGGTTGTTTCGTTAACGTTTGAGTGAAACATTTCGGCACTATACCTACGTTGTTTGGACATATTCATTTTATGCATATATGTATCATTTTTATTATATGATTAACCCTTTTTTTTAAAAAAAAATCATTTTAACCTATAAGCATCTTGTCTTCTCTATAATCCTCCCACATTTTTATAAGAATATCCGATGGTTTCTTTTTTTTTTCTTTATGCCATTATTTTTTCACATTAATTACATTTCAATATATATACATAGTAAAATTCGTTTTATCGTTCAAAATTCCACACACATTCACAAACATTTTTTTTCGTTGTCGTCAATTACCCACTCAATTTCAATTTATATTGTATAAAAAATCCACCCATCATTCTTTCGTATTATTTTTCGTAAATACTAATTTTTTTTTTTTTTTCTACTAATGTTCGATAAAAAAAAAAAAAAGGATTGGATATTTTTTCGAATCATTTACAAACAACTTAATGAGAATTCAGAAGGAAACATATGTAGCTTCTGTTTATATAAAAGAGAGATATCTCTTAAAAATACTTATTCGAACATTTATGTAGTAGTTTTAGCGATCGATCGACTTAAGATTTGCGTAGTTTTTTAAGGGGAGTATTTGCTAATAACATTCATACGTTGAAATATGTACATATAAACCATTTGTAAAAAATATAAAAATATACATGTGTATGTTAGGCAACAAAACTCGCGTCATATTTATTTATATTAATTGATTTCATGTGATTACCGATGTTGATAACAATATAATCAGAGTACGTACTGTATAAATTAACTTTTTTTTTTTTTAAATGCAACATCTAATTATAGGTAAAATTAATTATAAAATTGCATTTAATGTTGTATTAGAATGGTAAACTAATATACTAGTAAATAGCTTAGTAATTAATACACGTAGTTAAGTTTTTAAACTAAAGGTAAGTATAATTTTTTTTTTAAAAAAAAAAAATAAAGTTAATTTGGGCTTGGTGCTAGAAAAAGAAATCAAATTTACAAAAAAAATAAACGTTACAAAAAAATCAATTATTTTACGAACTATTGATCAAAACAACATTATTTTAATACCATTCGACTCGTCTCGACGAGACGAATCGAATGATACCAAAATTATGTAATTCTGATCAATAGTTCATAAAATAATTGATTTTTTGTAACGTTTATTTTTTTGTAAATTTGATTACTTTTTTATAGCATCAAGCTTATTTTATTAATTACTGTAAAAGTATTCAAATTATAAAAAAATTATTTATATTTATTAATAGAAAATTACTTAATTTACACTAAGTGTTTGTACACTGGTATTATTTTTAATTTATGTAAATCAAAATTAAACTAATTTTTATAAAAAATAAACCCTGATTAAGATTAGGGTTAGGGTGAAGCCTGGGATTTTATCTAGGCATTAAATATATGCAAAATTTGGCAAGTAATTTTTTTTATTAGAGCCCCAAAAGCAGTTTCATAGGCGAAATTTTGAGATATTGATTATACGTGTATGCGTACACTAGTGTACAAATAGAAATTCTCTTATTTATAAATATAAAATAAATTCTAATTTTAAAATAAAATTAAAAAATAGTAATTTAATTTAATAATTTGAAATTTTTTTCAAAGTATATTTAATAATATAATATGTAATAAAAAAACAATAAATATATAATAAAATTCTTTGAAAATATTCTTATAGTACTATAGCACTATAGTACTACTCTATATGTAATCATAAGATCAGGTGTAATCTAAAATCAAAACAATTTATTTTATTTATTACTTTAAAGTCAGAATTATAGTTAGATTAGGGTTAGAGTTAGGGTGATAATATAAAAAAGTTTATACTAAAATTTAGCAAAGAATTTTTTTAATTAAAATACCAAAAGCAGTTTTATATACAAAATTTTAAGTTATTTTTTGTTTTTTAAAAATTGTATCAAATTTATATTATATCTGATCTTTTATTTTAATTGGCTATATTGCTCTAGTACTATAGTGCTATAGCATTACAAATTAAATCCCAAATTCTTCAAATCAAAATTTTTATATAGTATTTTTATAAAACATATTATATTATTATAGATAATGATAGGATTTTTAAGGTTTTAATTTATAGCATTATAGTACTATAGTGCTAGAGTATTATAGCTAATCAAAAAAAAAGATTAGATATAATATAAAAATGTGAATATTTTATAGTGCTATAGCACCATAGTACTACTCTATATATAATCATAAAATCAGGTATAACCTAAAATCAAAACAATCTATTTTATTTATTACTTTAGAGTTAGAGTCATAGTTAGATTAGAGTTAGGGTTAGAGTAATAGCATAGAAAAGTTTTATACCAAAATTTAGCAAAGAATTTTTTTAATTGAATACCAAAGATAGTTTTATATACAAAATTTTAAGTTATTTTCTGTTTTTTAAAAATTGCATTAATTTTACGTTACATCTGATCTTTTATTTTAATTGACTATATTGCCCTAGCACTATAGTGCTATAGCACTACAAATTAAATCTCTATAAAAATTAATGCAATTGTTATATTTTTTAAAAAATGTTTAATAATTTAAAATTTAGTATATAAAACTTCTTTTAGTTTTTAATTAAAAAAATTTTTTGTTAAATTTTAGTATATATCTTTTTTTATTATTATTCTAATTCTAACTCTAATTTAATGAAAGCTTTAACTCTAAAGTAATAAATAAAATATATTATTTTGATTTTGATTATATTGAATCTTATGTTTATATATAGAGTAGTATTACAATATATCTTTATAATTGAGTTATAAAATTTGTATATAAAATAAAAAATAACTTTTGATTTACTATAAGGTTAGAGTGAGACCTAAAATTTTATTTAGATATTAGTATATATAAATTTTAGCAAATAATTTTTTTAATTAAAATCTTAAAAATAATTTTATAAGTAAATTTAAGATATTAAAGTTTTTTAAAAAAATTTAAAGAAAAAAATTTGTTTTTATTAATAAAATCTTTATGTTATATAAATATTTTACAAATTTGATTAGCTAAATTAAAGAATACACTGCAGTATATGTATACTATATTTTAAAACCTATATTATAATTATATAATTTTTATTTTTAAATATTATTAAAAAATTTTTTATTTAAATATTTTAATTTTATTTAAATATATTTTTATTATTATTAAGACTGTTTTCTTGACCAATTGAATTTTATTAATTTCAAATTACAG